AGAATGTTTTTTATAAAAAGGAAATCTTTTTACAATGTACTGCTGCAGTAAGAAACATTTTACAGAAAAATTTCTACCAGTAATTACAAAAACTTATCAGTAGAAGCTTACTTAACAATGACTGTGACCACAGTAAGAAATTTCAAGATGGTCTCTAAAGTTATACAGAAAGATAGTAAGAGTAGTGTGATTCTGCCTGGACTGCTAGCCTACAACACAGAGTCTGCATCAGACATTTAACATTTATATTTCCAGCAGAACCTGGACAACTGGAACCTGACTCCCCTGAAGGGGGCCACTTTTATACAGGTAGCTTCTTACATATTTGTTCTACCTTCACCGATATAACCAAATGGACTTTGTTGACACGAGACAATTTCTGGAATATTCTTCTTCTACTCTTAGTAAGACATCTTGCTTTACTTATCCACCAATGCTCCATAAGAACCGTTCTTCATGTCAGGCTGAAGTTGCTTTTACACTTATTTTAGGTAACATTTGAGACATGGGTAGCACACATTCTGAAGAGCCTGCAGCATCCAATTTGTTAATCCACTTTCAAGAGAAGCCATACATGGCACACAGGAATACATACAATAATTCTGAAAAGCTGGGGTTTATTTAAATGTGCTTAGAATAAGTTGTCTGTTTTTTTCGTTATCAGCAGCTGCCTTGTAGGAAACCTCTTACTGCCATATTACATGCAGTAAGAAGAAACTAAGAGGGCAAGATGAAGACAGACAAATTACATTACAGTCAGCATTACTGTAACATTTATACTTTATAAAGTGAAAACTAAGTGGACCTGGACTCAATCCCAAGTTGAAAGAATCACTGTAAACGAACAACAAAACTGAACACTACCTCTTCTCAATATGTCTTGAATTGAGCATATATAGCATAACAGAGAAATGAGATCACAGAATTATCAAAAAAGTTAGAACCAACATTCCTCTACTGTCAGAAGACCAGAGTTTGACGTGTACCATAGCAAAATCCTCACTCTGCAGCCAGCTTGGTAACTGGGTAGCTTGGCTTAGTGCCTGGAACAGAGTTGCTCTGAGAGCACAATAGTTATCACCTCGTACTCTCCTTATAGATGCAAACTTCTGAGCAACTGCTTCATACCCCTAGAAAAAAAAACACAAAATCCAAATAACATGAAAGCATTAATAAAACATTTTAAGGTCATGCACTGGTATCATAAAAGATATTGGAATACTAGCATCCAAATGTTAATGTTATTGGAAAAAAACAAACAAACAAAAAGTTTGACCAACTATCCATTTTCGAAGTTCAAATGCTTTTATGTCACAAATCATGCATTGAAAACAACTTTCCTTAGTTCTGCTGAATAACAAACAAGAAATCAAAGAAATCTAAGTAGATAATTGGTTGCGGCATTTATTTGGTGACAGAGCATAAACATCACTGAAACGCGGGTAGGTAACTCCCTCAGGTTTCAAAAAAAATCCAAACATACAAACATACATACATATAAATAGAAAAATATACCATGCTTACAAGAAGTTCCAGGATAGTTTATGCTACTTACCCAATACATGTCACATGTAGTTTGGTGTTGCCTTAGGGAAAATTTGTGTTTACACTGAAATATCTTGACACATGCCTCAGCACATTTGTCCCCTCCCTGCTGTTCCCACATGTACACTTTTAGCAGAAGCAACAAGGTTGAAACATAACTTCTGAAGCTCAGTATGTATCTTCAGATAACCTAGCAAGACCAAATGCCTTGTGCACCTGTATTTCTCTTACTGACCTCTTAAAGGCAACACATAGATGTTGATTTATTGAAAGTAATTTTTAGGTTTACTCTGTATCATTAAATTTTCAAATTGTGTTGAAAAATAGCCAAAAAAACCCCAAAAAAACATCCAACCAACTTTATGTTTTATTTTCTACCATTCTAGCTCAAGATTAAGATAAGAAAACTAGTCCAAAACCAAAAAATAAGAATCTAGGAAAAATTTAAGAAAAAACGAGCCTGTTCAATAAAGCTCCCCATCTTAAAAACCATGCAATTCACCCACCTCAGTTATTTGCCTTCTGTCAAAAAGTCTGGTTATCTGCTCTGCCTTTTCAACTGCCCAGCATCAATCAAAACCCTGCACTATCAACAAGTAGCATTACCAAAAAAGATATTTTGAATAAGTATGAACAAAATCATCTTCCAGTCATCAGCCACTTTTACGACCAGACACTGGAAAACACTGCTATTGTTATTTCCTGTTTTAAAGATTGTTCCTATAGGAAATCACCTACTAAACAGACAAATGAAAACAGAAAACCCAACTAAATTCAACAAAAAGAGAACTGATACCTTTCTCATCCTTTTTGCTGCTGGTGTATTTCCTCTCCATTCTTTTCTGCAGTACTCCATGATGTCCATTTCAGGTGAAACACTTAGTTTATATTCTGTCAAAGCAGAATATGTAACGTTATACTGAGAACCGTGAAACAGAACAACGCAGAAAAAGTACTGAATTTCTAAATACACTCTATCACTTTCACATTGGCGCCAAAGGAGCCTGGCAGCACAACCTATAACTACTAAGTAATTATTAGTATCAGAGATGAAAAAAAAAAAACTCCAGCTTGCTCTGAAAATGACAAGTGAACAAAAATAATGATGCAGTCCAACAAAACAGCAAACATTCTGCTCCTGTCTCCTGAAAAATACTAATTGGCAAAGAGTAGAAATTAGGACTTTTCATTTTCTTCGCAATCAGAAAAACATTGGGCGAAAGTTTCTCTTCTTCTTTCAGCAGCTGGACTATAAGGAAGAAAGATCTTTCTGAATAAGGTAGAAACAATGGCAGAAAGAAGACAGTTTTCTCTTGGAATCCCAACAGCCTGCATTCCAAAACAGATAGTAATAAGGTTATCAAGGCGTCCCAGCAACAGATGCTGCTATAATGACTACAAATCAGTAATTTTGAAGCATAACACTCGTAACATAGGCTATATGACTGCTTTCCAAAGGATTCAAATTCTCTTGTAACGTAACTATAGAAACACGGAGAGAAATTATACTAAAAGCACTAGTTTTACATAAAATTGATCTTTTCGTGAATTAAACTGTACAATGTACTCAGTCATTATAAGTAGCTTGTATTGCACACAGAGACATCTGTGCACGAAAATCCCTGGAAACAAGAGTGTCAAATCATGAAAAATTAGTGCTACAATTAATTGTAATACTGTATTTGTAACAAAGTTTGAATGTACCTGAAGAGCTTGTTTCACAAAGTAATATTTTCTCTCTCTCTATTTCTTCTGCATCACGATACATGTCCTCTTCACTGCAATAAAAATCAACACATAACACATACTTCACATACCAGCACAAACCTTATAGAAATATACCTTTTCCCCTGTTTACAACTACAGGCAAGTACATAAGTCTCTTTCCAAGTATTTTTTCAACTTGATTTGCTTTCCATCTTACACATTTTCATAAAATCAACATGAATTCTCAAATTAAAAAAAAGTTTAAAAAACCTCTCACCTGTTCCCCTCTTATTTATGAGACGCTGGTAATGAATCACTGTCTGAATTTCTCTTCCGTTAATTGTATGGAGACTACAGAGTACCAAAGTCCCTTTGTATTTGTAAATTTTACAGGATAAATTTGCAACATGCAACTAAGAATGCAGTACTCACTAGAGCTCTGTATCTACGCTCCACTGGGGCTGAGCAACCTGTCTAGCAACGAGCAGAATACATAACAATACCACGATGAAAAGTAGCCAGATATCTGCAGCTGGTTTGAGTGCTACAAACCCAAAGAAAATAAAATTCTAAGTGTGATCCAAACTGCAGCCTACAGGCTAACTGAAATCCAGACAAACATTTCTTCCTTGAATATTATGGACTTTTTGGTCAAGGTATGCTGTCTGAAGAGTCAAATGTCTCCATCTGAGCCTATGTACAGACATTCTGAACTCAAGTTATGAATATGAGGGAGGAAATGATGGCCTAAAAGGATATCGTTTCTATGCACAGCCTAGAACTATGAAGAGATCTCAAAGCTAGAGCATGAACATTGCTGTTGAGAATGGACGTCCATGTAGTGTTCAAAAAACAGAACTGTAAATTGCACATTCCTTTAAACATCATTGAGTGGCATTTGTCATATAATTACATCTAGCAAATAAACTTTAAAAATCAGTTTCAAAGCTAAAATACTTCCAAAAAAACAGACATCACCAAACATATTAGTAAATCATTTAAGCTTACCACTAAAAGAAGGTTACATTGGAAGTTTGTATTTTGAAGAAAGTACATGTGCAGAGAAAAAAAAGTGTAAGGTTATTATTCATTGTCCACTACTATTAGTAGCTTCTAAGCTACTACAAAAAAAATTAATATCCAAACTACAGTGTGCTAACAAAAGATCAGGAAGAAATTAAGGCGGTGACTGTGACCCTGCCCCATCTTACACTAAGAGAGGACAAGCAGTTTGGAAGACTGCAAGAAAGGGTTTAATGTAGCCAGCTGGTAATTAGATTACTCTCATTAAACTTGAAAGAACACTGGTATATTATGGTTCTATATTTCTTTTTCTTTTTCTTTATATCTAAACCAGCTTAATTAAAAAAGGTAACATTTCTAACCTATTTGCATACATTTCCCTTGAGAACAAAAATAAAAATCTTTAGTATAAAGACAAATATAGGCTAATATCAGGAAACTCATCTACTACGCAGTCATATGAAACTGAAGTTTAGTTTTTACTCAACTTTTAAACTTTTAACTTTCAAAATGGATTTCCTCAGTGCTCAAGTAGCTGCTTAAGATCTGATTCATAACAATACTACATAATTATTAAATAAAAGAGAAATAATAGATGCAATAGATATTAACAAAGTACTCCATAAAAAGAGTACTACCTGTTGAGAAGAAAAAAAAATTACAGAAATACTTATCCCAAGTCTGTATCCTTGTTACAGTGCGGCCCTGGACAAACCCTAGTTTCCATGCATAATCTCATTTCTCAGCAGAGATTAAGGTCCATTAAGGTTTGTGAAGAATTTCCAGAATATTTAATAACCTTGAAAGTACTATGAAAAAACCACTAACAACTTAGTATCTGGCAGCAGTGATCTGCAGCCTAGCTTACCTATAAGCTAAGTATTTAAAATACACAGCAACAGTCCATCCCCTCCTCCGAGCATGAACAAACCTGCTTCTTTCTGCAAGGGATCACATGGGAGGTGGCGGGGCGTGGGAAGCGTTACTTTGGGACACATCCTCAGCTACATTTAGGTTACAACGCACAAAGACAGAAAGTGCTCAACATAGTAAACTAGTGAGGCCACTCAAAAAAGAAGTTTGCTGTGGAGTAAGCAGCATCACGCTCCTTCTGCAGATAATACCCCTTCTTCTTTCTGGGAGTTGACAAAATGGAACTGAGATTCAGAGCCGGAGGGATTAAGGTTCAGTGTAAACAGAACACTGCAATTTAACTGAGTTGTTTTGAAATCAAGGTAGCTAAGAGGTGCAATCCATCTGGGCAGGCACTCTCACTTCAAGAGTTGAAAGTGCATCTCAACATTGTTCTAGCACAGCAACTGTTCAGTAAATCCGTGGAAACAATAATGTGGAAAATAAAGCCCTTCCCCATTAATCTTCATATTAATATTTGACAATAGAGTGAAAATAAAATAACAGATGGAAAAGAGTAATTAAATGAAAACACAGAATGAAACGTAGAATGGTTTGGGTTGGAAGAGACCTTAAAGAGCATGCATGTACAAAAGAAAAAAAAAAAAGTGTAGTATTCTGTGTAAACACTCAAATTGTTGAACTAGTAAATTGGATTTTGCTGAACCAAAGACAACAAGGAAAAAAACAGGATGTCAGATGTTACTTAGAGCATCCTGGGCTTTGCATTTTAAAAACAAACAACAACAACAACCAGCGCACATCACCAAAAAAACCCAAACCCCGAACAAGTTAAGACAACAGCAAGCAAAACTAAGCTGGAGAGAAGGGAAAGGACTATAGGCAAAAATATAAGTAGTTTTATACTAATAGATTTGCAGGAATAGAACTCCTGGTATTGAAGATACCACACAAAAGCAAAACCAATGCTTCAAGTCTTCTGTTTATTATCATGAAGGGATGAACATTTGATTTTTTAATGTCAGATTAAACTCATTGTTATTAGTATTTCATGTAAAGGTGTATTAGATCAAATAGAATTTGCATGCCAAGTAGCAGCTAATTAAAATTCAGAAGGATAGAGATCCTTATATGAAATAAAACATATTTACATGAATTTGTGTAAGTATATTAATGTTAAATGTGTGTTAATATTTAAAGACACACTAATATATTAGATTATGCTTAAATTACAAAGTACTTTAAGCATGAAATAAGATTCTAAAAGCATCATCGAAAACATGTACTTATTTTTAGTGACTTTTTCACTAAGTCAGCACATATTATAGATTTTGGATGTTGTCTAAAATAGTCCGCTGGCTACCTATAGAAAGAGGATTAATTAGACATCACTTTCTTCTCTTAATAAATTCTTCAGAGATATAAAGTCACTCTTAATGTGCATTAATTTTCTTTTCAGAAGTTTGGAATATCTTTTTTTAAAACCTTTGTATTTATTTCTTCCTCCAGATAACACTTATTCTTACAAAGACTTCTACTGTCAAATCTGAATCACAAAACTAAATTTTTACTTCAGCCTACAGCAGGAGGTTTACAAACAACAAACAAACAAAAAGCAGAAGTGGTAGGATTAAAAAAAAAAAAGTCTTCTATGATTGTCAGGACTGCACCTAACGAAGTGTTCACAAGGTTAAAACCAGGGTACCAGAGTATCTGCCTTCAATTCTTAGTTTCCCATGCTCTGCATCCTACACTTAAGAGCTTAATGTCACATCAGCTATTCCCTCAGATGGTGAAAGAAGACCACTAATAAACCGTAACAACAAGCAATTTAGCTAAAGGGTGAAGGTGGCCTTCAAAGTTTAAGATCTGACATTGGGATCTATTTCACTGAGATAATAACATACATGAAATTTTACCAGGCAACTGCCTTCCAGGAACTGAAAGTATCCCTCCTTTTCTATAGAAAAGTTAATTAATATATTAGGAAAAACAAATCCTCACCTGTCCTCAGATGACTCCATTGCTGAACAACTACTAGACACAGGCAGATAGAGTTCACAGTTTGTAGCTGCATCCTGATCTGTCACAAGTGATTTAATCATATCTGTCTTCCCAGGTCTCCCAGTGCTTCTGCAGACATAATCTTTTCTCAGTTCCGACGTAGATTGCTCTTTCTGGTGAGTAGCTGCGTTTGCTGAACCAAGTTCATTAGAAGGAACACCAACTTCCTCTTCATGCTTCATCAACTGTATGGTAACACTCTCTTTTTTCAACTGGGTCTGACCCGCACCCGCCGAAAAGCTGGTTGGCTCCGTCATCCACCCTTCAAAATTATCCTGGCTTTGAAGAACGGAGAAATATATGAAGAGTATCTCTCACGGAAGAACAAAGGCACATGTTTTAAGAAAATCAGAATATTTTGATAGTTACATTATCGTCTGAGGATTCAGAAGGTACTTAAATTATTCAAAAGCAGGAACCAAATCCAGAGGGGTTTGGTGAAATAACACAGCACCCAAGCTATTTTCAAACCCATCTCCTTGGCAGGTCAATTTCATTTCTTACCGAGGCTGACCTGTGCCAATTCCTCAAGCACAACTCCTGCCACAACTAGTGCCCTGACTGAACACTTGCTCCGCCCAAGGGGCGTTACGACCTGAGAACCTCAGGATTAACAGAAATCCCAAGGAAACGAGCTCCAGTCCTGCAAGAGAGGCGTTTTCACCAACTGTTGCTGTGAAACTCTGTGAAACTTTCCATCGCACCAGGATTATTGCTTAAAACTCACTAATCTTTCTTTCTTCCAATAGGATGCGCTTCAGGGATATATCTCTTAAGTTTATCTTAAGCTCATGCACGACTCCCCCAAAACCATGGGTTGCTTCGCAGTTGCCGCATCCGTGCTCTC